CCCTCCCCCCCCCGCTTTTCTGTTTTATTCTTGCATTTTCGATTTTATATACTTGAAACCATGTTTAAATATTTGAATATTATTATAACAAAAATGTGGTTAACACTTTACAGTAAGGCTCCATTAGTTAACTACATTAGCTACATAAACTAACAAAAATACTTCTAAAGCATTTATTAATCTTACTTAAAAAATGACTAATACATTATTAATTTAAAATGTTGCATCTGTTCGTAATTTTTAATGGACCTTAGCTAACTAACAATGAACAATTGTATTTTCATTAAGTAACGTAAAAAAAAAAAATGTAAATACTACAACAAATGTATTGCTCATTATTAGTTGATGCGGTTAACTAATGAGACCTTATTGTAAAGTGTTACCCAAAAATGTGTATAAAAAGACTATTGTAATGTTAACAATGAAAGCTAAATAACAGAATAATTCAGCAAAATGAACTAGTCAATAAAGAAGTATCCTAATTTATACAAATGCACCTACTCACTTAATAGCTATATTTTATATTTACATTATAGTATTCATGTTATAGTGTATTTATGTAAGTGTTTACTGAGCAATACTACTAAACTTCATGTATTTAATTAGCAATTGGTTAAATATTGCTTTTGCTAAGATTGTTTTTGCTACTGAAATTATATTATTATGTATTAACTTAATATTTCCAACTAAATGATATAACTGTAATATTATATAATAAAGACACTGTAATGATGAAATTTTGAATGCATTTTTATCTAAACTAAACCCTGACACTGTGTGCCTTTCTGATTTTGAACATTCTCATTTATAGGGTCTGTTTGCCATCTGTGGCTTGCTGACGGGTTGCTATTTCTGTTGTTGTCTGTGCTGCTGTTTCAACTGCTGTTGTGGGAAATGCAAACCGCACACACCTGGAGAAGAGGACCCGGAGTTCTATGTGTCTCCCGAAGACCTGGAGGAGCAGATCCGTACGGACAACGAGAGAGGTAAAAGGACATTCTGATGTGTTCTTTAGGCAGTCACACTCAGTTTTAAAATGGCAAATGAGCACAGAACACGCTTCAGTCACTCTGCAGTCAAAATAATATGATAATTGTCTCATTAAAAAATGTATTAAATACTTAAAAAGAACAACCAGATTCTTTGATGTAGCAGATCATGGCTTATCAGTTGAGAAAGCTTTTAAGAAGGTTCAACTAATGTAATAACTCACTATACTTACTAAAATAAATAGTTGGTACTACTACTTCTGGAGCCAGATGTTTGGATATAATACGCTGTTGTTCTGCCAGTGAGCTGTAGGAGGTGTTTTACATCTTGTGCTGCAGTCCCTCACAAAAGTGATAATTACAGTCCGAGTCATTTCTCAAAGTGTGTTTGCATACTAGTTTTTTATAGCATTCTCACAACAAAAATAAACAACGTTTTCTTTCCCTGCGTGTGAGATGGTACAGACACAAAAAAAGCCCTGTTTTGTCTTATATTAGTCTCTAGCTACGTCTATGTAAAAAAAAAAAAATGATACTAATAAAATAAAGGAAGTAGGCACCTGTTTTATACCATTTATATTAGTGTAGCACAAGAAAAATTTCAATAAAAATAAAACAATATTTCATAGACTCATACCCAAGTCATGCCCTACACATTTATATTATATATTAGTCTACCATGTAAAAATAATGTTATTATTCATATTAAATCAAATATTTGAGCTAATTAAGGTGATTTTTTTTAGGTTATAGGTTATTTTTACAGTGTATTTTATTGTCTGTTTCATAACATCTATATTAGTGTAGCACAAAAAAAAATTATGAAATAAAAAATAATGCCCACTTCATATCCTGCTCATGTGGTCTCTAAACATCTCGAAAACTCTTTTTAGTGCAACCTACACATTAAATAATATTAACTATATATTAGTCTACCGTGTAAAATAATTTTATTAGG